CCTTTTAAATTTACCATCTTGGCTCCTCCTTCTCTATCCACATTTATGTTCGTCCCTTCAACCCCCTAGACTAGCCAGGGGACGTAACAAACATGGATAAGCCACACTCTAGAAATATGGAATAAATTGATTAAAATATGTGGTAGTGAACGAATACTAAAAGAATTTAGATGGTGTGCTTATGACACAGATTTTAAACCAAATGAAAGTGATAAAAGATTTCAGTCCTGGATAGAGAGTGGACCAACAACATCCCTTCACACATAAATGGACACTTCAGAGTTTCCAATCTTTACAAATAAGAAATGGCCTAAGACAAGTAGATTTCTTCAGGTTTCTTCAAATGCGGGATTATTTTAACAAACATTGCAATATCCCAGGTTTTTAAGGTTTTTAAGATAAAATTTGATATTAATTTTGTAAATTTGTACTTGGGCCTGGTTGCTGGCTTGGTCCGGACACAAAGCTCTTACAAGCCCTATTAGCGGCAAGCAAAAAATCAATAACCGGAAAGTGGCAAATCCAACTCCGCCAACACTTGAGGATTGGTTTGATGCGGTTTTTGAAATATGGAAAATGGAAACATTGACATTCTTTTTAAAACTTCTAAAAGACCAATTCTACAAAATATGGAATAATGGATTAGCTCTGTGTCCCCCATCCGCCCTGAATTTAGGTGAGACCAGCCCTGAATTGGTGTATCTCCCATGTATTGTACAATGTCAGGTCGACCCTCCATAATATATATTGAATGTACTTTATGTAAATAAGTTAAACATGCTGCATTATGTATACACTGTCAAGCCACCGAGTTCACTTTTCGTTACTGAATGTAAAACAAAAGGACAAAATAATATCAACGCACTTTATTGTAACAAGTCCTTTTTTCAATAAAGATATAACAAAAAAACTGCCAAAGAGTGTGCTTTTAATTATTTCATTTGTTTTTCTACGATGACTATATTACAAACCAGGCTACAGCAGCATGAAACATCTCAGCAGGCTCCCTTTGGTAAGTCTTTTTCTCATTTCTTAATTATTTTTGTCTGCTCCAGTGAGATCCCACCGTTAAACGTGCTGAACATCTTGTCATTGCAGTTTTGCGCCACTGTGACAAACAGGTTGGCTCACACGTGAAAGTGTCCTGTTAGTACCAATGAGCAGTTAGTCATCCCTGTCTGATATCTCCCTCCCTCTGCTTCCTGTCTTACTTGCCTGCTCACAGCGATGAACAGAAACCCGACACCTTCAGAACGAAGGGACCGGCGATATGAAGAAATGAGGTACGAGACAGCATCCACAATCAGGCAGTTAACTGCTGCAGGCTACCAACTACTACCTAAATGACACGCAGCTTCCAACTCTTAGTGCTGATGCACATGCACCGCTCATTTCACCGTCCTTCTGTACACCTCAGGTAACATCTCCAGGCCACAGCTGGATTTGCAGCTGGTTTGATCTCAGCCTGTTTCCTGTTGATTTCCGGGCAAAAACAGAGAAAGAAATATCAGCTAAAAATATACTTTAAAAATAATGATGATAAAGTGATTGTGGGTTTTTACATGTATTCTTATGACATAATAATATAAGCCAGCAATTTGTGTTTTGAGTTGGATTTAGAAAAACAAAAACAAGTATTATTTGTGCCAAGTTTAACACAGATCATTTCATGTCCAACCTGTGTGACAAAAAATGATTACATTTAGCTCCCCGAGGATTAGTCAGCAGCGGGTTTTCTTCTCCTCTTGTGTACATCCCATCAGAGCTGGCTGCATGCCCGGTGTGTGTTTCACAGGCTGACACAGCGACGGTGTGGTCATCTCCCAGTGCCACCTGTCAGCGATGACAGCCAATAACACGTCCATGACCCCCTCTCTTCAACAACAACAACACGCTTGTATAAAAAGCCTTCTGGTGATAAATACAGCAGAAACGAAACCCTAAAAACGTCAATGGTGACAGATTTTCACAGTTGGTTGTGTTAGGTTTTGTATTGTTGATTGTCATTTATGCTTAAAAATATCTACTTATATATGCTTAGAGTTTTATAATTAATTGTAGATTGGTAGAGGTTTGATCCTTAATAGTCTGCAAACTTTGTGTGCATTAGAGAGCACTCTGGGAGCACGAGAGAGGTCGTACCTTGTCTTATTATTTTACGGTAGGATTAACGTAGCTACGTCTGTTCTAGTCTAAGTGCTTTTTGTTTAGATGAACTGCTGGACTTCCTCACCATATTATCTAGGGTGAACCATCTAGGGTGAGGGGGAGACCACCCTCTTCCTGACCAAGGATGTTTGCTTTTGTGCTTTCATGTTATAAGACCCTTTGATCAGCAGTA